GAAATATTGATTTGATCGTAGCAGAATAACGTTCACATTTTTCAACAAACAAAAAAAAGAAAGAATTAATAAAGTTCACATGTATCGTTAAACAAGTTAAATTAGAAAGGATATTAGGTCTAAACATGTGTAAATGTATTTATAAATAAGGAAAAACGACATTGTATAGATAGATAAGAGGCATTAATCCATACACAAGCATGCAATGGGGTCTTAGGCTTTTAGCTTTCGCGAAAAGGAAGAGGGCAATTTCTGGTCCATAAGGTTAAAACAATTTTTCTACTTTTTAATCAAATATCCTTTAAGCTTTCAGTAATTAATCATTTCTTTAGCTAAATATTTCTTAATTAATAATCATGTCTTGATGGCTTTAAGTTTCCTTTCCAATTTCAGAATCGTGTGTTTATCAAATCAAAGATGGCTTAATTAAAGATGTTATCATTTGACCATGTGACTCTCACTTTAAGTGCCAACTGCCAAGTGATTTGTATGTGTGTACCGACAGAAAGAGAATATAGTTCATAGATTAATTAGTTTTTAAAATCCTATTTAAAGGTTAAACAACTAGCTAGTGGGCAAATTAAGCATAGCAAGATGTCGTCAGTTTATGTTATGGCTAATTTATTTAGAGTCAATGAATCTAACTGGCCGATCCGAAACCACTCAAGTACAATATATTGTCTCTAATCCCAAATCCTACTTTTCTTTTTATCGAACTTCGATTATGATCGAACCAAACTACCAATAGACTTGTTATTACATCTCAATCCCTTGGGCTTCACGTTTGGGCCCACTTTTTAAAGTTGCTGTGATGTTATAAAGAAAACAGCAACGTATATTGCCAAACTTAACTCATCAATGCGGCCCATTTTAGGCTTCATTACTTTTTTTTTGTTGAGTCACATGCAGGCTTCATTACTAAAGCGTCTATTTTGTAAGTCAATAATTAATCACTACAATAAGCTTTACAAATCAATACAGTTGGTAAAATGATATTATGCATACGATTATACAAGTCTATATATTAATATCAAGTACGACGTACGAGACTACTTTTCTATAAACAAAAATAGTTTCTTCTATAATCAATGCCCAATTCTAGAAGCTCTTCTATAGATTTAGTTGTAATGAATGTGTATATATGTACGAGATATTAGTTACGCTAAAGTTTAATTGTATAATATAATCATTGGTTGACCTAAATTTACATACAATATTCAGTGCATACAGCTTGTAGACTTGTAGTAAGATGATAAAATGCTACCACGCTATTTAAAATTAACCCATAAATTTAACCAGTATAGTACAACATAGTGTTATGAAGTTATCCTATATAATATACATGTACATGGAGTTAATTACATATCTTAATCATAAGCTACTTCATATTCACAAGAGTGCGAAATGCATCGCACATTTACTTGTTCCTACGGTCGTTCGGCAAGTTTCCGGAGACTGAATCAACGGCTGCGACGGTTCGCATAACGTCCACTTGCGCTCGGAGATAGACAATGTAATCAAGTGTCTCTCTTATCAAATAATCTTTGTCGTCTATTAACTCGCCTCCCGGTACTAGACTCTTGAGCATCTCCGTACGTTTTCTCACCCCAATCTTTGCCTTGAAATGACCATTTCGTCTGAGAGTCGTACAACGATTCTTCATCCGATTTCGAGCTTTTCTTAGTATTCGACGAGCCACGGGTTTGTCGGTTGTCTTGTTTCGGGTCCTAGAGATGAGAGCGCGGCTCCATACGGTGGAGCCGGTTCTAGTGGCTGCGATGGCTATGTCCGATGATAGTCTTATCGCATTTCTCCTCTCAGTTACGTTCGTGGGATGTTCAACAGAAGAATCGAACATGTGGAGAGTAGTTATCCATTTCTTGATAAATTCTTGCTTGACCCTGTTATACGTGTTCATCC